ATAGATCCGGGCTCCAATCAGGATAGCGAACTGGGATTTTTGGGTTTGGCCAAAATACAGGGAAAATACTCTCAGGGCCCCTGACAAACTGAAACAGAGTAGGTCTGGAGAGTCTGGGGACCTGGAGTTTTATTAACTACCAGTGATAACCATGAACCCTGGTCCTTGACCCAGAGGGTGGTTTATTGGGCAGGAGGATTAGACCCAGTGGAAAGAGGGGACCCTTTTTGTATTAAAACACCCACGTCAGGTCACATTTTGGAAAGCGTGCAGAAAACTGCTTGCCTCCAATTAGTGCATGACCACTTGCTGTGCCCATGACAGCCCTCCCCCATGCAGTGTGTGGCAGACCTTGAGAGGTTTCATTTCATCCTTTAATCAGCAGAGGACTTCCTAATGTTTTAATAGCCAATAGTAAACTCTGCACTACAGCCACAAACCAGCTGTGTCCTCAGGGACGTTGGTTTGCCAGAGGAGTCACTTGTGAGGACACTGGGGAGCCCCAAATGAGTCAAGCTTTGTATTTGTCTATGGGATCGCTAGCTGGGAGCGGGCGGGGTGTCGGTCGACGGGTGGTGAGCAATTGCATTGCACATTACCCATTTATACTGTCACCGTATTATTTTATTACTCTTATTAAACTGTTTTTATCTCAACCCGTGAGTCTCCCTTTGCCCCTCCGATTCCCTCCCCATTCCCAAGTGGTGGAGGGTGGGCAAGCAGCTGCATTGTGTTTGGCTGCCGACCAGGCTCAGACCATGACACCTACCAAGCCAGATTGTTCAGCCGTACTGGCTATCTCTCAAATGCCTAGATTCAGAGCAGAGAGAGAAGGGGCTGCTCCAGAAAAATCCCAACCCAGGCTGTAACACAGACACTGCCCAGATGCCCTCCAAACAGAGAACATACAGCTCCTGGCTCCCAATGCCCTAAGGCACAGCTTAAGAGCAGTACTTGACCTAAGGTCACAAGTAGTGATACAGGGAAATAACTGCTTTGCAATTTCGTAAAATTTTGTTTGCCTTGAATGTTATTTTGACGCCTTGAGTGTTCTTTTGAAACTTGTTTATTAGAGAGTGGTGACTAAGCTTATCAGGGACTGGTATTCGCTAAGGACTGTGTGTTAGAGGCAGGGGGGGATAACAAGAATAACGGTGTCAGCTTGACCATAAAACTGGTTAAAAGGCTGCTGAGATCACCAAGTACAAATAGAACATGCGTGAATGGCTAAAGTTCATCTAAAGGACAAAAGAGGAAGAGGAAGATAAGACCCCTGAAGAAGTAAACGACCACCAGAGACAGATCTGAGTCTGTGCAAACTAAGCCCACCTTGCTCATATATACGTATGTTTGTGTTGCATAATCCCATGAATATGTGTATCTGCATTGCATAAATTTTTGGCAAAGTGTGCTGTTGGTGTGCAAGCTAGGAGGAGCGATCCCCCTCGCACCCAGCACTGCAATAAACATACCTGCTTTATGACTCTTTGTGAGTTGCAGAGTTTGTTTCCGCGCTTCAATTTGGCGACCCCAGTGGGACCCTCTCTGCCCGGCCGCAGGACTGGCTGAGAGGGGGACGTCCTAGGCGCCCCCCGAGGCTTCTCAGAGGACCTCCCTCGCTCATTCGATCACTGCGGGGGCAGACAGGGACCCTCGGGGGACCAGGGATGTGGATTTAGGAGGGGATATCTGTAAGCCCTGAGGAGACGTTCTACACGAGGTAAAGAGCATTGGTGCTCGCCCCAGGGAGGCTGGGGTTTGAGTCCCCAAAAGGTGGTGGCAGGGTAAGTAGGACACCCTGACCAATGGTAACCTGGGTTCTCCTGGCCACGGTAGCAGGAGCAGGGGGTTGCAACCATCGTTATTGTCATCTGTTGTAAAAATCTGGTACCGTACATCATGTGTTGAGGTTTATATTGTGATCACTGGGGCCTCTTTGTGTGACTGTTGTATGAACAAGACGCAGTCTGACTGCGAAGCGAGTGTGGAGTTCCGATCTGCAATTCCATGTTCTCTGCGAGGAGAGCGGCAGGAGATGAACGAAGCGCATGTTTTTAATGTTTTTGGTGGGGAAGAGAAGTCTCGGTAAAGTTTGGAAATGATTTTTAGTGTAATAAATGTCAAGGGAATTGGTCTGACTGGGACAGAACTGAGCACTCAGGTCAGCTTAAAAGAGCGTATTGTGGGAACCTGGGAAACATGCTAATGTTGGTTTTGAGGAGAGAGGGAAAGTGGGATGAAGTCTCATACGCAGGACATGTTCTTTACCCTCCAAAATCACCCCAAGTACCAAACAGCCTGTGGACTGACGAGCCCACAGGATCCAATGGTTTTGGCTTTAGAGAAAGAAAATATGAAGGAAGGAAAAGGAAAGTTCAAGAGGTGTTGTTCAGCATGCAGTATAGGTCAGAGATGTACGACATTGGGGAAAATAAGGGATCCTGAAGCAGGAGACCTGCTGGAACATTACAAACCTCCAGTAAAAATACAACAAGAGAAAAGTGAGGACTCTGATACGGGAACCCTTCGGTAGTCCAGTCTCCTCTCACACCCGGAGTAAACAAGAAAAAGTAGTGGTACAAGCACCTCTGAGGGAAGCAGTGGGACGAAGCAGAGAGCCTGTCTTAATAAAGGTTCCCTTCTCCTCATTTGATCTTGAAACATAGAAAAATGGGGCAAAAAACTATCGAAGTGATTCTGTGGGGGTCACTAAACATTTCCAGTTTCTGATAAAACAGCATAATCCTGACTGGGATGATATTCAATTGTTATTAGACCATATGGCAGAAATGGACAAACAGCTGATACTGAAAACAGTCCAAGATCTGGCTAGTGACTTTCTTAAGAATACAGGGGAGGATATAAAAGAATATTTCCCCTTACAAGACCCACGTTGGAACCCTAACAGAGGGGCACACGTAAGATTGCTGAATACATACAGAGATTGGGTTGGAAGAGGAATGGAGCGGGCTACCCTGAAAACAATTAATTGGTCAGCTTTATATGCCACTTGGCAAGGTCCAAGGGATACCCCCTCTGAATTTTTAGATAAATTACAGGATACTATGAGGTGGCATACTCCTCTAGACCCAGGGTCAGAAATAGGGATTCAGCAGTCAGGGTCTCTGTTCATCGGACAATCAGCAAGCGACATCCGGAGGAAGTTGCAGAAATTGAAGCCTGCAGAAAGCAGGAACCTGGAGACTTTACTAGATGAGGCACAGAGGGTGTTTAGCAACAGGGAAGAGGATAGCCAAAAAAGAGACTGGCGGGTGTTGGTAATGGTGTTACAAGAAAGAAAAGAATTCAAGAGCGTGGGACCTAAAAGGCCCTTGGGAAGAGACCAGTGTGCATGGTGTAAAGAATGTGGACATTGGAAAAATGAATGACCAGAGACAGAAAGAGAAAGGAAGGATACAGGCCCACATTAAAGAAGATCGACGGGGACCTGGGGGGGCCTACCCGGATCCACTGTTACATTAAAGCTCGGGACATGACAACAGAGTAGAGAATTTCTAGTAGATAAAGGGGGAACATTTTCAGTTTTGGATCAAGCTTAACAACTATGGATGATAACTTTGTAACAGTAAGGGGAGCTACTGGCTAAAGTGAAGAGGCATACTTTTTAAAATCTCTTAAATTTAAATTGGGAAAACAGTTGGGAATACACAAATTCTTATATATGCCTAATTCGCTGAAACCTTTATTAGGCAGAGACCTATTGCAACAATTAAAAGCAAAAATAACATTTGAGAGAGGAAAAATGGAACTTTGAGGAGATGACCAACTAGATTGAACTTTTGAGTCTGGCCCTTATAGATACTCCTGTTATCTCAGGAATACCCGAGGAAGTTCAGAACCAGGTATATCCGCGGGTATGGGCCTTGGAGATACTCGGGAGAGCGAAAAATGCCTCCCCAATAATAGTTAGGCTGAAACCAGGGGTGCAGCCCATAAGAATTAGGCAATACCTCCATATGCAGAAGACAGGGAAGGAATCTGACCAATCATCGACTGATTCATTAAATTTGGGCTGTTAACAGAGTGTGAATCAGAGTACAACACTCCCATTCTACCAATCAAAAAGTCAGATGGGAGTTATTGAAGAGTACAGGATCTCACAGTTATTAATAAGACTGTTGAAGATCTGTATCCTGTTGTGGCAAACCCATACACATTATTAACTAAACTGGCATTTGAATTGATCTGGTTTATCATACTGGACCTGAAAGACACCTTCTTTTGCCTACCCTTGAGCCCAGAAAGTCAGTTGCTATTTGCATTTGAATGGGAAAACCCTGACTCTAGGAGAAAGGCCCAACTAACATGGACTGTGTTGCCACAGGGGTTTAAAAATAGCCCCACTCTTTTCGGAAACCAATTATCCAAAGACTAGGAGCGGTAGGAGTGACCACATGGAGTTAGAGCAATACTACAATATGTGGATGACTTATTGACAGCCAGATAAATGAGAGAACTATGTATAGTATGGACAGTCAGTGTGCTAAATTTCCTCGGAGTTAATGGCTATCGAGTCTCTCCACAGAAAGCCCAAGTGGCTCAGCAGCAGGTGACTTACCTCGGATACGAGATAACTGCTGGTCAGAGGTCTCTAGGCACAGCAAGAAAGGCGGCTATCTGTCAGACCCCTCGGCCACAGAGAGCTAAAGAACTCCCCACGTTCCTAGGAATGACAGGATGGTGTCACCTATACAGCTATGGACTCCTGGTAAGGCCACTCTATGAACTGTTGAAATCTAGTCAGAAAGACCTCACCTGGAACAGGGGAGCAGAAAGAGCATTCCAACAACTGAAAAGGAAGCTCATGGAGGCCCCTGCCTTGGGGCTACCAGATACTACTGAGCTATTCTGGCTGTTCTCCCACGAGAAACAGGGAACAGCCCTGGGAATCCTAGCCCAGAACGTAGGACCATACAGAAGGGCAGTGGTAGTACATCTCCAAACAGTAGCCTAACCACTGAAGAAAAAGCACAAACACATTTACTGTTTCCCACAACCGGCTGTATAGTACCACGAGGACTACAACAAAAGTTACAGTTATTATGACATTGCTTATATTTCTTATGTTTATTACACATTCACATGAACAATATAGGTATTTCACAGGAGGAAGGGAAATTACTTTCCCCATTTTGTTCTTGTGGGTTTTGGTTGGTTGTTTTTGGTTTGGTTTGGGTTTTTTTAATATAGATAGTTCAACAGCCACAACAGAATTTGGCAAGAGAAAATCATTTCCAGCCTTATTTAGCAAGGAGTTATCAAGTAAACCCAAGGAAATGAAGACCTAAGGAATTCTTGGACATGAGCTGGCCACAAACCACAGATCAATCAAGGTATCTCTGGCACTTGCCAAATACACAGATAATCACACATTCAATTCAAAGTGGCTTGATACAGTAATTACAAACAAACCACAAAATGTAATACATGTTGCTGCTCTGCAGGCTTCACAGCAGATGCTAAGCCTCTAACAAGCAGTTGATCCTTCCCACAGCCTTACCTGGCGCTTTGGAACAGGTCTTCATTTATGTGCCTCACAGATACCCCTTCCTTGTATTACGTAGCAAATACAAAGAGATTTCTCTGATAAAAGGTGGAGCGCTCATTTCCTCAGCATTTATAGTCACTACTGTTACAAGGCAAAGTTAGGCAGGTAGGGTTTTATGACACAGAATGTATTTTTTTAAGTGAACAGCACAGGAAAAAAAAAAAAAAAAAAAAAAGGACACCACCCTCTCAGGCTTAAGCTATGGTGAAAAGCATGCCTTTTCCCTGCTCTCACACACCAGCATATTGGTAAATGGTATATTGTTTCCAACGACAGCTGATGCATCATCCTGTGTTGCCAGTCGTTTGAAAATCTGGAAAAAAGGAGAAAGACAGAGAGAGATACAGACAGACAGAGCACAAGATTCTTCTGCTCAGCTGAGAGAAGACACACCAAGCTCTAAAACTAGCTCTCCACTCTGCTTTCAGCTGTGCACTCTTCAGCAATCAGAGCCTGAGGCAAGGAGCTGTGCAGGCAGGAGCTGGTGCTGTGCCCACTGCAGCGCTGGGAAGCAGCACAGCCTTGGCTACGTGCGGCCAGGACAGCGGAGGGGAGGATCAAGAGGATTTCTGGGGGTGCTGTGACAGCCTGATGGGAAAAGCCGACAAGTGGGGACCGGGGCACAGCAGGAGTGCAAAGGGAACACTACACAAGGCACCTGGCCCCTCCCCAGCGAAAGCAAGCACAGCCCCATGCTTCGTGACACCGCACAAACTCCTCCGAGGAAGGAGGGCCGCGGCGTCGGGGAGGCCAGAAGTCTTTGGCCTCTGCCAGAGCCACTTGGCCGCCCTGTGAGCACAGCCCTGAGGCTCGCCAGGCCCGTCCTGCCCCAGCTGGAGCTGGGTGGCCTCAGGGGATGTTCAGCCCTCCTCTCCCCTCAGCCCTCCTCTCCCCACCAGCCCCAGTTTTTCCCCTGGGCTTTCCCCCCTCTCTTCAGTGAGCACTGAAGCAGTCTAGAGGCCCAGGGCATGCCCTCCTCTTTCTGCCACTTTTAGCAGCTGACACTGCTCTCTGTGCTAGGCAAAAGGCACCAATGACCATTTCCTAACTAAGACAAAAATGCAGACTCTAACAAGCCCCACGACTCTGCAGAGCCCTGCGAAAAAACACTGAGGAAGGAGCCACTTCCTACCGGCACCCCGTGGGTGGCTAAAACACTTGCCATGCAGGTGGTGGGCAAGTAAGAATATGAATACAGCTAGGGAAAGAAAGAAGAAAATTCATTAAAGAGAAACATGCTGAGCACACTGACAGTGTAAAGGAGAAAACCAAACCGATGCCGTTATTCAGAACTGCACACTACAATACCAGTGTGTATTTAAATGCTTCTGAAAAGTTAATACTCCTTCTAAAATACTGACTAAATGGTAGATGATTTTTCACAAAGATTGTTTTGCAGCTAAGGGTCACATTCCTCACCTCAAAATCTATACTCAGTTCTGGATGGGACTCAATGAAAATTGATCTGGAATGCTGAAATTGTGAGCCAAGCCAGGGACATCACTTACACGGGAGAGCAGGTCTCCTACGCAGCTAACAGCTCCCACTAAATCCCTTCTGGGCTCTCCAGTTTTAAAGACATACAGGAAACATTATTAAACTATGCTGCAGGGGGGGCTGGCAGCCACTTCTGTAGCAAGGATGCTGAAGACATTTGATTTGCAGGAGGTTCATGCAAACTCAAGGACTTCGAATAGCAGGTAGTATCACGGACACCAAACTGCACCGGGACCCAGCTGGCTGTAGTTAAACACCATTCCTCCCAAGCAGCACCTCCTCGCCACTGACCAAGAGTTGGACTCACACTGGAAACACTGTTGGCCTGTGGGCTGCTGACTTCTGAGCTGAAGTGCACGCCCCCCAGCACCACAGGGAAGAGAAAGGCCCTCCGTCTTCATCTCCTCGCTATTCCATAAAGCCTATCGGTGGGAAGAGTGGCAACAGCCCAACTGTCCAGGCATTTAGAAGAGTTTTAAGAAGTTAAAGGTCTCTGCTGTCCCCTGGGATTAGTTTCCATCTCATATACAGAAGATGAAAACCCCATTATTTGTTTTCTTGCTTGAAACATACCAGTCAACAACTACATCATTCAGAACTGGGGCTTCAAGGGTCAAGCCATAGACAAGAAAACTACATTTCTGGGAAGGGTCAGAAGTTCTAGGATGAACAAGGCTGTAAGAAAGGTAGATGCTCAAGTGAGAAAAGTGAGTAAACTGTGTTGGAATGCAGTTCTAGTTAAACTAGTTCAGAATATAATTACAACTTCGATAGCAATCCACTGAAAGGGAACCACACTGTACACGTCTTCCTTTATTAATTCCATCAGGCTTCTTTCACTAAAAATACTCTTTCAAAATTGAAAGCAGAAACACCTCATATGTTACTTCAAAGCAGTGGAAGAGGCAGCATGGAAATGCTTGTTCTTCGAGGGCAAATTGTCTTGTGAGCAATTCCAGAGTCTTCAAGGTCTCCACTGTGAAGCTGCTAAACAAATGTAAATAGTTGGAATAAGTACAGCTCCACAGCAATAACAGTCCGATTGATGGAAACATAAGACTATCCAAAAAGCAAGGTCAGCTGAAATGCTTCCAAAAGAACAGCTTTGTTCTGAACATTAGCTTAGAAGTTTTTTTCACATGCTACAATAGAGGAGTCCTTTGATCTGCTTTGACCTTTTGTACAGTTCAGGCCACAGGAGAGTTTAGATGTGATCATGTTCTTTAAACTGAATTATTTTTTAAAGAATCTAAACTTGATCTAACTACTCATCAGTGGAGAATTTTATGTAGCTTCAGTGTTAATTATCTTCCCTGTTAAAAACATAAACCCTTTTTAAGGTTCAGGTACATCTGTTTTCCACCACAAGCTGCTGGTTATCACTGTCTGCCAGATTCAAGAACTCCTGTTAGCCCCAATTTTCCAGTGTCTAACTCAATCTCATTCCACCTCACCTCTCTGCAGTCCAAGCACCTTGAACTTTAACAGCATCTTTAGACTTCTTAATTCTTGTTGTCCGTCTCAAGTCCCTGTCCAACTTGCCAGTACTTTCCTTAAACTGTTGACAAAGTAACTTAGACAACAGTGATGGGAGGACAAATATGGAGGTAGCATAGCCATCATACCCTTCAACCACTTCCATTCCATGCATATTTGTGATGCTGTACTGGAGCATTTTACCAGATATTTGTCATCTGAAAAACAAACAAAAATTAGGAAAAAAAAAAAAGCCACTTGTGAGCACAGATCAGTAGAGAAGTCAGCAAACAAGCATTCATGGTACATTGTCAAAGTCTCATGAATTTCAGTGTAACTATGCCAATGTGTGACTTTCAAAGAATTTTCTGTGTTGGTCAAACTCAGCTGGCATGGCAGTCAGACAGCAAGACTCATCATCCAACAAGTGTCCTACACAGAAACAACTTTTGCTACATTCTGCTTTGTCAGTTAAAATAATGCCAACACTTAACATGCAAAAAAATTAAAACAAATACTTCAACTAAATGGACTCCAAGCCTTAAGACTAATACTAACAACATCAATGATAACAATATTAATAATGAAGATGATAACAATTAGTCCTTTAAAAGCAATCAGGTATGCCTTCAGGATCAATCAGGCTTTTGTATCACTGAATATTATTTTTTTGAACATGTTTAAAAAAACAAAACAAAACAGAAAAACCCCACAAAACCCAAAAACTCAACCAATGAGTTTCTCTTCTACCAGTTAAGACACTTGATTAAACATTGCGGGGAAGGAAGAATAAAGAAAAGACTCATAGAAACTGATTCAGATCTCGCAGGACTGCATTCTTGCTGTCTGTAAATCAGGAACCTCTACATATTTTATTTCAAATTTATCTTGTTAAAGCTAAGTCTCCATATCTAGAATATATGTTTCATTCCATGTGGGAGCAACATGCTGAACGCCTTCTAGCAAACAAAACAGTTCAGACTGGGCTCATATACAGCTACTGCTGGCACAATACCCACATTCAGCAACAGTGAAATTCAAAAAATGCCCAATTATGAAAGTGTTTTAACTCCAAGAACTTCTGATACTGCACTGAGGAAGTTATGCATACCTTCAGAGAAAAACAAAACAAAACAAACAACCCAGCTCCAGTAATCAAGTTGTATTTCTGCTTTTATTCAAATAAATTTTAAAAAATACTTAGAGCAAATATTTACATGTTCAATCCAATTACTCTTCAAATCCTCCTGATTAATAAAGAACAGGTTCTTACAGTAATTATCAGAAGTTCTTAGAACAAAGCCTTGTACTTTTGGAAAAGCAATTAAGTGTTTGCTGAACATTTAACCAGTGTTGAAAAATCCACAAGAGAACACTGTTCCTATAATATGGTATTCCTCCATCTCCCCCTGAAGGCAGAGGCATTTTCAGACCATGAGCTGCTTTACAGGTATTGAAACCACCTAGTAATGGGTAAAGGACATTTCAGAAATATGGCAAATTGTATCACTGATCTGAAAAAACTGAAGACAGGTTTTTGTAATAAAAGTTTCATTTCAGTCATAACATCATTTTTCAGTTTTCTGAAAACATGATGGCACTGGAAAAATCTGATTTCTATCCAAGATAGTATCCAAACAGATGGCTTTTGCAGGTAAATTCACTTTGTATCTTTAAAGTCACATAACTAAAGCATAAATGTTTTAAGTTCAAACCTTTTGTCTCTTATTCCAAATACTGCTAGTTTTTCTGTGCTTCATTTCTCAATCAGCCATGTTTTCTGCACTAGGACAGCCTTTTATTCCGTGGCTCGATTGTTAGAGCCAATATGATCTGCATTTTCAGGTAAACATACTCCCATGCTCTGTAAAATGTTAGAGGTGGGTCCTGCCAGTCCAGATTGAGCACTGTAGGATTCGAGCAGGTTAGCTACCAGGTTCTGATCCACATCAACTGGTGTCAACTCAGTATCATCAGGGCCAGCACTTTGAGACGTAGTTGCATTAACAGAACTTGCCTATAGTAAGTATAAAGACAAAGTTTTATCAAACTTTATAAACAGGTTTAAAAAAAAAAGACAAACCACAAGAGAGAAGAAAACAAGGAGACAGTTCTGCAGCCAACAAAGTTCAGTATGTTCCACACTGTCTTGACAGACAGGAATTTAGTCACCAAATGCGCATGCCAGTTAAAAATCATCACTTTCCATTATACAGATAAAGTTCCAAGAGAAGGACATAGAGGGTTACTGAGTCTTGGCTCCCTTTCCTATGGGCGTGATCTTCTACAGCAACTCAAATAGTCAAGCTGCAGCTGCTTGCCTTACTACTGAAACAGGGTAAAACAGGGAAATGAAACTAAGTCTTGCAAACAATGTGCAAGTTAAAGCTTCCCTAAGTTGGTTTTCTTCCCACGCCCCCCCCCCCCCCCCAGAAAAATACACCATGGTGCAGCTGCAGCACATTTTGCTTGCACATGCAATTTTCGCTTTATTTTTTAATAATTAGTTAGCACATGATTAGAAGACACAAGTTTTTGATTACATTACTCGGAATGATCACTTTTAGTATACTTCCTCTTTCCTACCAAAGCTCTCAACACTTTATGCTACAAACTAGAACTCGAGGCATACTTACCCCTCTCTTTTGGACAGTGAAACTTTTACCAACGTTGGTATGTGCCAGTTCACGGTCCATCTCACTCATGTATGACTTGAGACTGCCTATAAGCTCATTAGGCGGCACCTTCTGGTCTTGCCTTTGATCTTCCACATCTAAGTCTTCATCATCCTCATTCGAGAAATCAAACTCCTCCTCTTCATCCAGACCATCAGAATCCAGCTCTTCTGAGTCTGCCCCTACATATATATTATTTTGTGTCAGTACAGATAGCAAACAAATCAGCTCAGCGACCATGGGTGACGGATGGATGACCCAGGAAAGCCAAATAACCATGAGATATTCTGACAAAAGAAACAAAGAAGCAATCTCACCTAAAATTCTGTCTAACGCTTTTGTAAAAGAATCTACATCAAAGGTAACATGGGATTCATCAGGTGACCTGAAATCTAAAAAAAGATTTAAATAAATAAAGCTTTTAGGCTTGCATAAGCTGACACAGACATAAGCCATACAGCATACAGATTTCTCTCGAGCCTAGACTGAAGTTGGAACATTTCAACTGATGGTCTTGGAAGTGCTTAGAAGTCTGAGGCCTGTATGAACTAGGAATGAAACAGCAACTGGAGGAGTTCCTGGCATGAAAGAGAAAATAAACCCAACAACTTTAACCGTTTGTTGTGGTCAAATAAAAACTGCACAGAAGGGAACCAAAATAAGCATGCCTGAATCTTTCTGGAACAAAGTGGTGGTGGTACACCTTAGACAAAGATTTAAAAAGCTGAGAATCTTGGAGGTCTCCTGCCTAGAAAGAACACTGCAGGCTTCATTCTAGTCTCTTTTAAGGCTCAGTGGTTTGCCCTTTTTTTGTTGTTTTTTTTTTTTTTTTTCATTTATTTTTTAAATACCTGAAAAAAGTCCACATTATAACTCAGACATTGACACTAACAGTAATTAAAAAGGATCAAACAATTAAGAGTATAAATTGAGTAGACCCTCATACGCTTGATACAGTTTACACAGCATTATTTTCTCAATATTAAAGCTATTAAAAAGAACTTGGACAATATGCTCCTACCTCACCCTTTGGTTTTTAAAATTAAAGGCCTGTCCACACCACAGTCACACACACTTTCTTAACTCCAGCACTTAATCTAGCGGCATTCTGCTCTTGCCTAACTAGTTAGGTATCTTCAGTTAGCACTCCCACTGTTGGGAACAATGACAGGGATCCATAGTGATTTGATTCTTTGCTCCTGCTTCTAGGTGTACAGTATGTGCTTTAGGTGTGGAAAACCAGGCCTAGTATATTCAAAATACTAATCTACAGGAAATATAAATTCAACTGTACCACAAAAATCAATAGTCTTAATTCACAGGTTCCCCCAACTTAAGTTTCATTTTTTTTCTTCACAGCTTCATCAGTAGAATCTTAGTCTGAACAGTCCTTCATGGCAGAAAAATTTCAGCACAAATGAACTTGAGATATGCATTTTAATAACACTGCTAAGAACTATCTTAATGAACAACAAGAAGCCTTCAACTTAAAAGCATTAAAAAATTTTAAAAACCACAAAACCAAACTAAGTAAGAGAGCTGGAAAATAACACAGCTTCCAGCATTTTTACCTGCACCACTGTCAGAGTGGTGACCAAACTGGTTTAAAAGCAACTACATATTCACTGGTAACATGGGTTTGTTTCAGGCCTCTGCTACGCTGAACGCTTTCAAACGTTGATTCTGCACATTACAGAATCAACCAAAGGGCTACAGCAGAATGAAAACACATTCTACACCACACACCAAACTTAAAAATACTACTGCCGTGGCATTTCTGCTCCTTCATGTGGTGAGACTTTGGATACAAAAGCCTTCATACTTTCAGCAACTGCTTCCAAGTCTTATTTCTGCTCTTCCTCATTTGAGGAAGGAAGGGACTCGTTTCTTGCCTCCTTCAGTATCTGATCTAGATCATCTGCTGTAATGTCCAGCCAACTGTCATCTGAAAGAATATAGGGCATATTTGTTATTCGGCACAAATCTGTCAGCCCACAATGGCCACAAAACCCAATCCAGATGGCTGAGAGTACTGCTAGCATTTTGTAGCTTATTTTTGCACTGTTAAGTTTTCGTGCTGATACAAAATAACATGGGGTATAAGGCAGAGAGAGGCTGAAAAGAGTGTTCGGATTTCATTTTACTACTTTAAAACCCTGCTTTACATGCAGCTTCAAACTAGCAGAAATTGTTGTAGCCACAGGTAATCCTTCTGCCACTAAATGAAGGAAGAAAAGGCTTACACTATAAAGGGAGACCTTCCACTACAATCATTAATGCTGAATGTTGGATTTGCATGCTAAGGCATCATTCAGAAATCCAGATGTGACCTGTGCTGCACACTGGCAACAACTGCATTCCTGTGACATGAGTGAAAAGAACCTATTATATAAAGTTTATGCTGGTCTTGTATTGGCCATCAGAGTAGACCAGATAGTAATTAACTTTGTATTGTCAGTACTGGAATTGATTTATTATTATTCTTAAATGTTTAAATACCTCCTGTCTGGTATCCAGTTGACACAAAGGACTTGATCTGGTATAAGTGTGCATGGTGTTATCAATCTAGTGGTATCAAACCAGAAACTGGACTGCGTATTTCGCCAGTTCACAGCCCCGAGCTTATACAGACGAACTGGTTGCCTTCATCTTAAATGTTGGCCCATGAATAACACCTCCAGCAGTCACATGGTAGGAGACTAAATCGATAAAGAGACTGGTACAGTGCTGTGAACATTCACCCTCTTCCCCAACAAATACTCATTTGTGATAGGAACAGTCCACCCCCCATCCGGCTCACCATCCTCTGGAGGAAGACAAGCTGCTTCTCTCTCAAATTCCTTCAAATCAACAGTTGTTGTCTGTAGCAGTGTCAAGATTTCATCACCTGGGCTCACTTCAAAAGAGCTAGAAGAAAAAATTCCATTTACTGAAATGGATTTTTACTAGCATTACGATAACTGTGGCATCACACACACTACACGCAAGTTTTCACTCCAATTCCTCACGATTCCTTCTGTGCAAAGACATCAAAAAGGTAAGTGAATCTGGGGGAAGTACCAGAATACTACACCAATAGCATTAGCCAAAACAGGACACAGTCAGTTACTGTTATTCCTTGTTGATGGCTCCAAAGCAAATTTCTCATGCTTCTTTTGTTATTTATATTTATTTTGCCTTGGTAAACATTAGGACTGCCAGATCCCAAACAGCACAAGACTGGAAACTCAAGCAACTAACAGTCAAGATATTATGAGTTGGCAAACCCCCAGATGTTTTTGTAATGATTTATTTTTTGGATTTGTTCTTTTGGAGAAATCTACAGCCAGCTGCCTCTCGTAAGTAGAGGAGACAGATTATTCCATATTTCTTATTCACTAAGATTGATTTTCAATTAAGCTTTTAAACACTTTCTATAACCAACCAGCCAAATGATGCTTTTCAGTCACCTCTTAACCCACTTGGAATAGCTTAGCATTTTACAAAACCAAGATAAATAGTTACTCAAGCAGTAACTTCTACTAGTAGAGTATTCTAGAGGAATTAATACCCCTATGTCTTAGCCACAACACCTATGTTAAGTGTACAGTGGAGAAAAGGGTTCGGGTTTTTTGTAACAAGTATTAAAAAAGGTAAATTAAAGTACTTGCAGGTACTGTGTATGGTTATTCATGAATTTCAAGTAGCTCTTACCTTTCTGGCTTGGTAACAGACTGTTGGAAGTAATCTTCTGCCCTGTGCAGCACTTCCAAGTATTTAGCAGATCCTTCCATTTCTCCTTATTTAATGCAAGCCACAAGTAGGAATCTAAAGAATTCTCCCTCCCCTTCCTTTCCACAGACATGCTTCGTAACAATGACTATTTGTCAGACAGAAATTTAGTTCTGAGAAAAATCCAAACAAGTAATACTGCTGTGCCACGTATGCTTGGAACAGAATATAGGAAAGGGGCGTAAGGTGTTTTCACTGTCAAATATGAATTGAAGTCTTGTGCTACAATATCATATGGTGTACACTAAAAACAAAGAAATTACTGATTCTTACAACACAGTGTATTTACCATGCCCAAGTTACAACTGTGCAAGGATTGTGAATGAATCTCTTGGTTTTGGGGAACTACCCATACAAGTGGCATTGCAGTACTGTAAGCATATTCCCCTTCTCTTATATTTACAAGATATTAACCTAAGCATTCCGAGTTGTCTGATTCTATAACCTTCAAATAAGTAGTCAATTTATGACCAATTTGTAAACTTCAAATAAGCAAAGGCATCTTTTTAAAAAAAAAAAAAAAACAAACAAAATAAAAAACCCCACACAAACAAAAAATACACTTACATGGCCCCAAATGTATCGATGGGTGTTAAGTATAGATCTTAAAGAATATTTAATTCTAAATGCATGCAAATGAAATGTAAAACAGTTATACTGACAGTCAGCCACACTGTGGTTTCCTTTATTCGAGTGTATTTCCACTTTCTTTAGATGAATATCACAGCTAGAATGGGGATGTTGAAGACTGTGAACCCCTTCATCTTGAATAAGCATTTCCGTTAAAGCCACCGAGTGAAATAATCACCTGGTTTACTCTATGTAGCTGGGTAAAGTGTTTACTATGACAATCCCAGCTCTGACTGCTGCGGGAGGAAATCCTCACACAGCTCCGCGTGCTAAAATAATACCTTAAAGTAGTAGCAGCATGACTGGATTTCTACATGCACCTAAGGTCACTCAGGTCTTGCATCTCATCTGTGGCTCCCTCTGCCCACGCTCCCGCCCTGCACGGGGGCTCCCCACACAAGAAGGCTGGAGCAATCTCCTAACAACTGTGCTCACGCAGAATTTGGGAGTGCAACATCCTGAAGTACATAAATAGATCAAACCCATCAAGCCACAAACTTCCTGACAGTCTCCAGAATGGGCGTGTTTTTTTCTCCAGAGCACAGAGGTTTTGGTGTTAATTTGAACAGAGAGGAAAACTGGAGTCTGCTTCACAGAAACGACAAGTCAGAGGAATACACCATTAAGCTAACTAGCTGCAGGGTTGCCCAGCAGGTGGATGACACCTGGGTTGCTAGTGGAACACTCTTCTATAGCCTTGTTTGAGGCAGACACATATGGCTCTCTCAGGCATTGATGCAAGCTCCCAGATGGACTAGATCATTGCTGACACCTTATTATAAACCCCAGAGATGAAAGAAGGGGGCAGAATTTTTGAATCACAACACAGGACTGCAAAATATTAAAATTTCCTAAAAATCAAGTTTACAACAGATTATCTCAACTTCTTTCTGTTGAAAGGAGCTACTTCTAACCAGGAACAGAAAACTAGAGGAAAATGCTGAATCAAGAATGATCAGAAGAGCCTTGAGGAAACTTAAAGACGGGAAGATGCTTAATATAAATGTGTATCACAACTGCATATATGGAGTTACAACTATGACATCTCTGAGGATGCAAAAAATTATCTGCTGTGCAGCTGTTACTGACACCACAGAGCTTCTGTCTGGAATTTCTTGATTGTGGTGGAAGGGGAAAGGAAAGAAGAAGGAGCCATTTAGACATTACGGATGCATGACGTCTCTGAAATGTCTGTATCCTAGAGGACTACCGAAAAAATATTAAAAAAGAAAGAGAGAGAGAGAGAGAGAGAGAGAGAGAGAAGTCTTCCTACAGGAACAATTGGAGAACTAGCAGAAATACAGTGGGAGATAACAGAACCAATTGAATACAGCATTTGGTTTCGGTAGGTGTCAGGGACATCTGAGAACATCTCAAGTACACAAGGTGACTATGGTGTATTTTACACACCACGGTCAGAAACAGAAACAAACATTCTTTTGACATTTTTACACTGTGAAATGAGACTATCCTTAGCACCCAGTTAGAATTCTGCTCTTCTCCTTCACCCAAACAAGACTCAAAGCTCACAATATCACAAAGATGACTTATTAGGTATTTTCTCTTGGCTCCAATATCTACTATACCACTTAAAGCAAGCAAGTTAGATCTTTGAGACTATTATAACTCTGTGACAAAACTTTCCAATCTCAAAACCAATTCAACTCACTGACCCTGGGAATACATCAGGAATTCTGTAAATTCATGACTTGGGGAGATGCTGAAGCTGCTAAAGTTTATCTGCAGTCCACTTGCCAGCGGCCATAAACTTAATAAGTATGCCAACATCTTGGAAGCATCAGCTAAATGTGCAACAGCTAATATATCGCAACTCATTTATCTCTTCATTTTCTAGAGGAACAACTGTGCTTTCAGTATCTTCAACCATACAATAATTTCAATGTCTTAAAATCACAGTTGCTCCCAAGTTTTCACTCACAGCTTTTAGTGCACCTTTTATCTTCTTGACCAATGGGTAGTTCAGAAGGTTTTTCTTACAGGTAAAATGCAACAATCCTTGAATCATTTTGTAAAATAAAATGTTTATAAGTAAAGAGACAAGGGTATCCTTTTCTTCTTTAGAGCAATATAATCTCTACCTCCGTCACACGATGGGCCTCACCAGGAACGTCCAGGAGAAGCCTCAGTTTTGTAGGGATCACTTACGAAAGGGCGTAGGTACAATGGGATTTCCAGCTACGTACGCTGCATCTGCAGCTACTTCAATGGGACAGCTTCTCTTCTCTGCAATACAGCTGTTCCTCTGGGAGACAAGTTCAGCTGGGCAAAACCAGAAAAAAGATGACAACTATCTCCCTTCTTTCTCAGAACCCTCAAGGATATATGCTTCGCGGTTCATTTTCACCATGTTAGAATGCAAAAGCTTCAGGGTATTCTTTCCTTTATGTAAATCTTCAGATGCAAGACATAGGAAAGTGCAACGTGCAAACCTCTGCTCAGGGCTGACCTAACAGAGGGCAAATTAAAGCCTTTTGGCAACAGAGGCTTTGGTTCTCCTGAGGTACTCGTTCAGATGAACTCCAGGCTGAAAAGAAACAGGAAGAGACATACTAATTAATCGGCATCCATGAAAGCATAAGGAAATACAGCTCAGACTGGAACTAGCCAGTTTCTGGGCTGCAAGGTATTTCCCAGTACTATTAATGTGTCTCAAAGCAGACAAACAGCCAAAATCTCCTCATTTCCTACCAACTGCAGGCTTCACTTTTACAACCACCAAATCAAACAGATTTTTTTCCTAGTTTTACTCTTTAGAGGACTGACAGTTTCAGCACCATCCTGGGTTTGAGTGAGTGGTGGGGTTTTTGGTAGCAGGGGAGGGGGATACAGCTGTGGCCCCCTGGGAGAAGCTTCTCAAAACTCCCCCAGCTCCAAGTCAGCTCCACCTCTGCACCAAAACTGAGCCAATTACCTGCTCCTCCGTGACAACATAGTTAAGACAGGACCTGGGAGGAGGAGTTGGACTTGCAAGGAAGAGTTGTGACATTTGCGTGAACACCGAGGTCAGTGGAGGAACGGAGGAAGAAAGGAGGGGGGAGGTGTGCCGGAGCAGAGACCCCCCTGTATCCTGTGGGGAGACGGCAGGGCGGCCCCCCCCTGCCACCCATGGAGATCTGCGGTGGAGCAGACGCTGATTTATGGCCTGTGAGGGGCCCCACATGCCCAATTCAGGCGGCTGCGCCTGAAGGCACCCGGGACCCTGCCGGAAGAAGCAGCCCCCCGCTGCTGCGGTTCGGCGCTGGGAGGTGCAGCGTGCGGGGGTGTCCCACGCCGGAGCAGCTCGGGAAGGGCTGCAGGCCCCAGGGGAGGGACTCAGTTTTCATCAAAAGGCTGTTAAGATCATTAGAACAGAGCAGTGGTTTTCATCTACAGCTGTGAGTTTGAATCCTCACCTCTGTACCCACTGCAGATGACCTTCCTCTTGCAACTGAAGAGATGTTTAGCTCCCTAATCCTCAGTACATTAAATCACTACATTAAAAAGTGAGACCACCGGCATTATCAATCTAATAAGACACTGTAAGAATAAAGATATTTGTCAGATGTTTTGATGAGAAAGCTTTGCTGTAAGATGCTAAGTAGAACAGGTCAGATAAAACACACATTTGACAAACATTGGCAGTATTTCTGTTCATCAACAATGGTAGCTTTCTAAAAAATTTCTGTTACTATAAGCTATGTGAAAGCAGGCACCAAACCAGTACCATCGTGCAAGCTGCTTTGATAGGACAGGTGGATCACACTGTTAGGCTTCCCAATTCAATAAGGATAGCTCATCACTGAAAACATGTGAAGTGAAAACTGGGTACTTGCAAAAAGTTAATCTCAAATGTGCTGTTTCTAAAAACCTGCTAGGAAGGTTATTAAAACCGTATGAGCAATGGTAAAGGGTCACAAACACAGAAAACATCCCTGTTGAAAATATTCACAGAACCCCCTTCCAGTCCACTTCCACTACCCATACAGGTTTGGTGAGGAATTATAGTCAACACAAACCTGTAAAAGAAAACATCTACTCTCGAACTGCACTGGCCAACTGAGGCGATTAGTCTGTTCACCTCTAGCTTTTATATGACCGAGTGCAATCTTTAATTTAGGAGTATTGTACCTTATCTGCACATGTTTTCACAAATGTTTAATTTCATTTTGCTTAACACTAGGTAAGCAAGACCAACAAAACCAGTCATCCATTAAGGTGAAACAATAAGAGAAGAACACACACCCATCCGGTATTTCGCAGAAGGTGCCAGTTCAACAGCCATGGAGGTTCAGTCAGGTTATTTATAAGTGTTCCTCACAACTTCTCTCCCACACCTCTGCTACGCTCCTCAACACCGACCAACAGGGCAGAACTCAGGCAACTCACTTCTGTCTTATGAAAATCCCAAGCAGACCATGGCAAATGTCCAGCTGAAATTCCGTACCATACAGGCCAAAATATGCTCTACAAATTAGCATCATCTGACTCAATAACTAATGGTTAAGCAAAAGCAGAAAATGAAGCAATACCATTTAAGTCCAGTAGTTTAGGAAACACTGATACATTTAGGCAATTCCATATAGAGCATCCCTACCAGATACAGGACTAACAAATTCATATTAATTCTTGCTTCACGTGTCATTAACACCCAATGGAATGTTTAACGGTGCTGACAAGTCCAAGGTAAGAATGGATCACTCTTAATTATCACACAGGAAAAATTTCATGAAAGTCTAGAGGAAGAAGGAGGTTGTTAAAAGAGATTGCTTCATAGCTCAGTCACAGACTGCCCACCCCTTTCCCTCTATGAAGTGGAGAACAAGTAGGTTACACGTACGAATAAACAGAATAATGGGCTC